GGCTTCCGTTCCCTACACTCCACCGAAACTTCCTTACTCAAACTATCCAACAACCTGCTAACCGCCAAAGCTAATAGCCACTATTCAGTGCTCCTACTCCTTGACCTTTCTGCGGCCTTCGACACAGTCAACCACCCCCTCCTCCTTAATAAACTACACTCCCTCGGCCTCAGAGATTTCTGCTCTCTCCTGGCTCTCATCCTACCTGTCACAACGCTCCTTCAGCGTTACCTATAATGCTACCACCTCCCCCTCTCTCCCCCTCTCTGTTGGGGTCCCTCAAGGCTCTGTCCTCGGGCCCCTTCTATTCTCTATCTACTCCTCCTCCCTTGGCCAACTCATACACTCTCACGGCTTCAACTACCACCTCTATGCCGACGACACACAAATCTATCTCTCAACCCCCCACCTCACCCCCTCAGTCTCCGCCCGAATCACACACCTACTGAGCGACATATCAGACTGGATGTTGCTCCACTTCCTTAAACCGAGTTTCTTGTCTTCCCCCCAGCCCGCACACCACCCCCCATTGACTTCACATCCGTCACATCCAACAACGCCACCATCAAACCCGCCCTGCAGGCCAGAGTACTTGGTGTCATTCTGGACTCCAACCTATCCTTCCAGCCCCAAGTCCAATCTTTAACAAACTCGTGCAGACTCCACCTCCGCAACATTGCCAAAATACGCGCGTTCCTAACTTCAGAAACCACTAAACAGCTCATCCACTCCCTCATCATATCACGACTCGACTACTGCAACTCCCTCCTCACTGGCCTGCCTCGCCGCTGGCTATCCCCGCTTCAGTCCATCCTGAATACGGCTGCCAGACTCATCCACCTTATCAACCGCTCCGTCTTCGCCACCCCCCTCTGCCAATCCCTCCACTGGCCTCCACTCAGTGTCCTCCACCCCTCTCTGCCAATCCCTCCACTGGCTTCCGATTGCCCAACGGATCAAATTCAAAATCCTAACACTGACGTACAAAGCTGTCCACCATACTGCCCCGAACTACATCACTGACCTAATATCCAAGTACCACCCAACACGCACACTCCGCTCATCACAAGACCTCCTTCTCTCTAGTTCCCTGGTCTCCTCCTCCCATGCCTGCCTCCAGGATTTCACCAGGGTGTCACCCATACTCTGGAACTCCATACCCCAATCCATCAGACTATCACCTACTCTCCTCTCATTTAGGTGCACCCTGAAAACCCATCTCTTCAGGGAAGCCTACCCCACCCCCTGCTAATTGCCGATCTCCTCCACTCTTCCAACCACTCCATCCCCCACAGCTTTTCCTCCTGTGCCCCTTTCCCCTCCCTCCTAGATTGTAAGCTCAAAAGAGCAGGGCCCTCAATCCCCTCATGTTTTGCATTGTATTGGTATTGTTCTGTCACATGTTCTGTCCCCCTTTATAATGTACAGCGCTGAGCGAACTATTGGCGCTTTATAAATACTGTATAATAATAATAATGGTGCGGTATGTAGAGTCCTGCACGGTGCGGTATGTGGAGTCCTGCACGGTGCGGTATGTGGAGTCCTGCACGGTGCGGTATGTGGAGTCCTGCACGGTGCGGTATGTGGAGTCCTGCACGGTGCGGTATGTGGAGTCCTGCACGGTGCGGTATGTAGAGTCCTGCACGGTGCGGTATGTAGAGTCCTGCGCGGTGCGGTATGTAGAGTCCTGCGCGGTGCGGTATGTAGAGTCCTGCGCGGTGCGGTATGTAGAGCCCTGCGCGGTGCGGTATGTGGAGTCCTGCGCGGTGCGGTATGTAGAGCCCTGCCCGGTGCGGTATGTAGAGTCCTGCACGGTGCGGTATGTAGAGCCCTGCACGGTGCGGTATGTAGAGTCCTGCGCGGTGCGGTATGTAGAGTCCTGCGCGGTGCGGTATGTAGAGTCCTGCGCGGTGCGGTATGTGGAGCCCTGCGCGGTGCGGTATGTGGAGTCCTGCGCGGTGCGATATGTGGAGTCCTGCGCGGTGCGGTATGTGGAGTCCTGCGCGGTGCGGTATGTAGAGTCCTGCGCGGTGCGGTATGTGGAGTCCTGCACGGTGCGGTATGTAGAGTCCTGCACGGTGCGGTATGTGGAGTCCTGCGCGGTGCGGTATGTGGAGTCCTGCACGGTGTGGTATGTAGAGTCCTGCACGGTGCGGTATGTAGAGTCCTGCGCGGTGCGGTATGTAGAGTCCTGCGCGGTGCGGTATGTGGAGCCCTGCGCGGTGCGGTATGTGGAGTCCTGCGCGGTGCGATATGTGGAGTCCTGCGCGGTGCGGTATGTGGAGTCCTGCGCGGTGCGGTATGTGGAGTCCTGCGCGGTGCGGTATGTAGAGTCCTGCGCGGTGCGGTATGTGGAGTCCTGCACGGTGCGGTATGTAGAGTCCTGCACGGTGCGGTATGTGGAGTCCTGCGCGGTGCGGTATGTGGAGTCCTGCACGGTGTGGTATGTAGAGTCCTGCACGGTGCGGTATGTAGAGTCCTGCACGGTGTGGTATGTAGAGTCCTGCACGGTGTGGTATGTAGAGTCCTGCACGGTGCGGTCTGTAAAGCCATCCAAGGTGCAGTTTGTAAAGTAAAGTCATCCACGATGCAGGTTGTAAATCTCTCCATGGAGCAGTCTATAAAGTCCTTCTTGGTGCAGATTGTAAAGTCCCCCCATGCTACAGTCCCTAACATCCTCTATGGTACTGTCTGTTATGTCCTCCATGGTACAGTCTGTAAAGTTCTCCATGATGCAGGTTGTAAAGTCCTCCATGGAGCAGGCTGTAACGTTCTCCATGGTGTAGTCTATAACGTCCTTCATGGTGCAGGTCGTAAAGTCCCCCCATGCTACAGTCCCTAACATCCTCTATGGTATAGTCTGTATAGTCCTCCTTGGTGCAGTCTGTAAAATTCTCCGTGGCGCAGGTTGTAAATTCCTCCATGGTGCAATCTGAAACGTCTTCCATGGTGTAGTTTTATAAAGTCCTCCATAAAGTAGGTTGTAAAGTCCTCCACAGTGTAGAATGTACAGTCCTCCATGGAGCAGTCTGTATTAGTACGTCACCTGGCACATGTGCACTAGCATGCACCCCCTGGGGTTCGAAGCAGCACAATCCTGTGACTGCTGGGTCTGGTGAACACAGTGGATCACGATGGCTGGGGTATCATGTGATCGCTATGACACTCATAGTGATCACATGCTTATATGTAACAAACAGTCATAAATTTGCATTCATGACAGCTTGATTACTGTTGTAATGCTGTGAATGGCCCACAGCTATCACATGGTACCTGGCTACCTGTACCATGTGATTAGCCGTAGTTAATCACAGCATGTCAACAATAAGCAAGTTGTCATGAATGGCTTTCCATTCATCACAGTTAAACCTATTGCTTACAACCATGAGCATCACTGTTATAAGCAATAACCGTGTAAAATAAAAATCCCTGATCACCATACCATCCCCCCCTCCCTCCGCAGTGTAGTACAGTGTCGGAACTCTGTTGCTGGGGACAACACTGGAGCATTGAGAGGGTAGGTAACTTTTGAGCTCTTGTATTTAACATGGGAGGATACAAAAATGAAGATAAACAAGACTTGGAGTTTCACTTTGATACATAAAAATCTATTCAGTTATGTGATTTATCTCCAAAAAGTCCCTTCTGTTGCTCTTGGCCTTCTCCAAATCTCCAACTTCCTTTCTTTCTGCTGTGATCTGACTCCCTGTGAGTGTGGCGGCGCTCATCCTCCATGCAGTGTCTGTATACTGTATACAGTGTCTGTCTATATGTAATGTACATTATATTGCCAAAAATATTGGTCGGCCGGCCTTTCCACACACATGACCTTTAATGGCCTCCCAGTCTTAGTCCGTAGGGTTCAATATTAAGTTGGCCCCGCCCTTTCCACCCACATGACCTTTAATGGCCTCCCAGTCTCAGTCCGTAGGGTTCAATATTGAGTTGGCCCCGCCCTTTCCACGCACATGACCTTTAATGGCCTCCCAGTCTTAGTCCATAGGGTCCAATATTAAGTTGGCCCCGACCTTTGCAGCTACAACAGCTTCAACTCTTCTGGGAAGGCCGTCCACAAGGTTTAGGAGGGTGTCTATGGGAAGGTTGGACCATTCTTCCAGAAGCACATTTGTCAGGTCAGGCACTGATGTCGGGGGAGGAGGCCTGGCTCGCAGTCTCCGATCTAATTCATCCCAAAGGTGTTCTATGGGGTTGAGGTCAGGACTCTGTGCAGGCCAGTCAAGTTCCTCCACCCCAAACTGGCTCCTCCATGTCTTTATGGACCTTGCTTTGTGCACTGGTGGGCAGTCATGTTGGAACAGGAAGGGGCCATCCCCAAACTCTTCCCACAAAGTTGGGAGCATGAAATTGTCCAAAATGTCTTGGTATGCTGTCACCTTAAGATTTCCCTTCACTGGAACTAGGGGGCCAAGCCCAACCCCTGAAAAACAACCCCACACCATAATCCCCCCTCCACCAAACTTTACACTTGGCACAATGCAGTCAGGCAAGTATCGTTTTCCTGGCAACCACCAAACCTAGAATGCCCATCAGATTGGCAGCCAGAGAAGCGTGATTGGTCACTCCAGAGAACACATCTCCTCTGCTCTAGAGTCCAGTGGTGGCGTGCTTTACAAAACGACATCCAACGCTTTGCATTGCACTTGGTGATGGAAGGCTTGGATGCAGCTGCTCGGCCATGGAAACCCATTCCATGAAGCTCTCTACGCACTGTTGTTGGGCTCATCTGAAGGCCACACCAAGTTTGGAGGTCTTTAGCTATTGACTCTGCAGACAGTTGGTGACTTCTGCACACTGTGCGCTCAGATTAACTATGTGTAAGATGTGTCTCCCATGTAGATATGTCCCCCCTGAAGCAACTGCGCATGTCCTGGTTTCAACCGGGACATGCGCAGTTGCTTCAGGGGGGACATATCTACATGGGAGACACATCTTGCAGCTAAACCGGACCCGCTCCAAGAAAAGGTAAGTTGTAAAGAAAGTCGACGATCCCCGCAGGATGGATCAGATCTGCGGATTGAGCATAATGGATCGAAGTCTGATCCATTATGCTCAATCCGCAGATCCGATCCATTCTGCAGGAATCATCGGAGGAAGTGTCACCAAGTGTTACCGCACCGGGTGACACCAACCCTAGGGATGCCTCTGCCCTGCATTCACTATATCCGCTCTCCCCGGACCCCGCATTCACTATATCCACTCTCCCCGGACCCTGCATTCACTATATCCGCTCTCCCCGGACCCCGCATTCACTATATCCGCTCTCCCCGGACCCCGCATTCACTACATCCGGTCTTCCCGGACCCCGCATTCACTACATCCGCTCTCCCAGGACCCTGCATTCACTATATCCGGTCTTCCCGGACCCTGCATTCATTATATCTGGTCTCCCCGGACCCTGCATTCACTATATCCGCTCTCCCCGGATTCTGCATTCACTATATCCGGTCTCCCCGGACCCTGCATTCACTATATCCGCTCTCCCCGGATTCTGCATTCACTATATCCGGTCTCCCCGGACCCTGCATTCACTATATCCGCTCTCCCCGGACCCTGCATTCACTATATCCGCTCTCCTCGGACCCCGCATTCACTATATCCGCTCTCCTCGGACCCTGCATTCACTATATCCGGTCTCCCCGGATCCCGCATTCACTATATCCGGTCTCCCCGGATCCCGCATTCACTATATCCGCTCTCCCCGGACCCCGCATTCACTATATCCGCTCTCCCCGGACCCCGCATTCACTATATCCGCTCTCCCCGGACCCCGCATTCACTATATCCGGTCTCCCCGGACCCTGCATTCACTATATCCGCTCTCCCCGGACCCTGCATTCACTATATCCGCTCTCCCTGAACCCTGCATTCACTATATCCGCTCTCCCCGGACCCTGCATTCACTATATCCGCTCTCCCTGAACCCTGCATTCACTATATCCGCTCTCCCCGGACCCTGCATTCACTATATCCGCTCTCCCCGGATTCTGCATTCACTATATCCGCTCTCCCCGGACCCCGCATTCACTATATCCGCTCTCCTCGGACCCTGCATTCACTATATCAGGTCTCCCCGGGACCCTGCATTCACTATATCCGCTCTCCCCGGACCCCGCATTCACTATATCCGCTCTCCTCGGACCCTGCATTCACTATATCAGGTCTCCCCGGACCCTGCATTCACTATATCCGCTCTCCTCGGACCCCGCATTCACTATATCCGCTCTCCTCGGACCCCGCATTCACTATATCCGGTCTCCCCGGATCCCGCATTCACTATATCCGGTCTCCCCGGATCCCGCATTCACTATATCCGCTCTCCCCGAACCCTGCATTCACTATATCCGCTCTCCCCGGACCCCGCATTCACTATATCCGGTCTCCCCGGACCCTGCATTCACTATATCCGCTCTCCCCGGACCCTGCATTCACTATATCCGCTCTCCCTGAACCCTGCATTCACTATATCCGCTCTCCCCGGACCCTGCATTCACTATATCCGCTCTCCCTGAACCCTGCATTCACTATATCCGCTCTCCCCGGACCCTGCATTCACTATATCCGCTCTCCCCGGATTCTGCATTCACTATATCCGGTCTCCCCGGACCCTGCATTCACTATATCCGCTCTCCCCGGACCCCGCATTCACTATATCCGCTCTCCTCGGACCCTGCATTCACTATATCAGGTCTCCCGGACCCTGCATTCACTATATCCGCTCTCCCCGGACCCTGCATTCACTATATCCGCTCTCCCCGGACCCTGCATTCACTATATCTGGTCTCCCCGGACCCTGCATTCACTATATCCGGTCTCCCCGGACCCTGCATTCACTATATCCGCTCTCCCACAGTACACACAACATGGAAATGAAATTATTTCAGTAAATATAAATTGATAAAATACCTTTTCTCATCAGCAGTATATAGCAGTCTAGTGACTCTATCAGTCCACCAGAGCACTGGTTACAGCTTGTAGGAGGAAACAGAACCCCTGACCTCTGTCTGGACAGTGCTGATTGGCCCTGTGCTGATCACATGCACTCTCCCAAGAAAAAAAAAACCTCTCTAGCAATAAACACAAAACTGAGCATGTGCAGCTTATCCCCACGCCTCTGTTCTATCAGGAGATACTTAGGAGACAGTAGAAGAAGGGGAGGATCAGAGAAGACAGGATCAAACAGTCTTTTTACACAATGCAGAGGATTAACCCCTTAGGTCCCACAGTGAGTATAACAAGCATGCTTTACTGCATCTACAGACTGATTGTACTGTTGGGGGTTCAGGAACACTCCATGTGCTCGCTAATAGAAAAGTGTATTAGAATTGTGAGATCAGAATGACCAAAAGGGAGGAAATCAGTTACATTGTTATAATCCGTGTATATAATATGTATAATTACAGACGTGATCTATCAGCGGTGTTGTTTTCAGATGAGTTTGATCTCTACTTGTCTCTCACTACTCCAATTTCTAGTTAATTTTCAGCTGACACCTCCTATCATTCACTGTTTTGCTCTAAAGCTGAAAAGCGCAGCAAAACGCGGTAAAACGCCGCAAACCAGCGTTTTTGTACTTTTATTCACCAAAAAAAAATATTTTTTGGGTGAAAAACGTTAAAAAAACGCAAACAAATGCAAATGTGGAAAAACATAGGAAAATGCCGCTAAACGCCAATGCAAATACGCTAACAAAAAGCTGAAAAACTCCGGTTTGTAATGAGACTATACACAGCTAATGTTACCAGCGTTATCAAAATGTCCCGTGTGTCCATCCCCCCCGGCGTGTTCTCCCGTGTGTCCATCCCCCCCGGCGTGTTCTCCCGTGTGTCCATCCCCCCCGGCGTGTTCTCCCGTGTGTCCATCCCCCCGGCGTGTTCTCCCGTGTGTCCTTCCCCCCCGGCGTGTTCTCCCGTGTGTCCATCCCCCCCGGCGTGTTCTCCCGTGTGTCCTTCCCCCCCCGGCGTGTTCTCCCGTGTGTCCATCCCCCCCGGCATGTTCTCCCATGTGTCCATCCCCCCCGGCATGTTATCCCATGTGTCCATCCCCCCCGGCATGTTATCCTATGTGTCCATCCCCCCCGGCATGTTATCCTATGTGTCCATCCCCCCCGGCATGTTATCATATGTGTTCATCCCTGGCATGTTCTCCTATGTGTCCAGTTTTCAGGTTTCAGCGCTCTCACACTTTGAATGACAATTGCGCGGTCATACAACATTGTACCCAAACTAAAATTTTATCATTTTCTTCACACAACTAGAGCTTTCTTTTGGTGGTATTTAATCACCGCTGGGGTTTTTTTTTTTTGCTAAATTAACAAAAACAGACCAACAATTTTGAAAAAAAAAACGCACGTTTTTCTTTGTTTCTGTTATACAAGTTTGCAAATAAATAATTGTTCTTCATAAATTTAGGCCGAGATGTATTCTGCTACATGTCTTTGGTGAAAATAACCCAAATTAGGATGTATTATTTAGTTTGTAGGAAAGTTATAGAGTTCACAAACTATGGTATAGATCTGAATATTGATCAATCCTGAAGTACTGACAGCCAATCTAATTTCTTGAGGTCCAAGAAAGTCAGAATAGTACAGATATCCCCCAAATGTCAGGACGGTACAGATATCCCCCAAATGTCAGGACGGTACAGATATCCCCCCAAATGTCAGGACGGTACAGATATCCCCCCAAATGTCAGGACGGTACAGATATCCCCCCAAATGTCAGGACGGTACAGATATCCCCCAAATGTCAGGACGGTACAGATATCCCCCCAAATGTCAGAACGGTACAGATATCCCCCAAACGTCAGGACGGTACAGATATCCCCCAAATGTCAGGACGGTACAGATATCCCCCCAAATGTCAGGACAGTACAGATATCCCCCAAATGTCAGGACAGTATAGATATCCCCCAAATGTCAGGACAGTACAGATATCCCCCAAATGTCAGGACGGTACAGATATCCCCCAAATGTCAGGACAGGACAGATATCCTCCCAATGTCAGGACGGTACAGATATCCCCCAAATGTCAGGACGGTACAGATATCCCCCCAAATGTCAGGACGGTACAGATATCCCCCCAAATGTCAGGACGGTACAGATATCCCCCAAATGTCAGGACGGTACAGATATCCCCCCAAATGTCAGAACAGTACAGATATCCCCCAAATGTCAGGACAGTATAGATATCCCCCAAATGTCAGGACAGTACAGATATCCCCCCAAATGTCAGGACAGTACAGATATCCCAAAAATGTCAGAACAGTACAGATATCCCTCAAATGACCCCTTTATGACAGTCCAACGTACTTCATAAGAGGCATGGCGAGTTTTTTGAAGTTTTTTTTGTTATAATTTTTCGGAAAATGAAAAAAATTAAAAAAGTAGTTTCACTATTTTTTTTTTAACATACTGTCACCAGTGCAGTACAGCGCCTTCATATAACTGGCATGGCGGTGACCAGGGACACTGACTGGTGACAGTATGAAAAAAAAAATATATATTTTTTTTTTATTATTTTTTTATAAAAAAAATTCTTTTTTTGAAGATTTTTTTTTTTCATATTTCACTATGACCAAAGTAGTACAATGTTACCATAGTAACATTGTACTACTTTGGGGAAGTGATCAGTATTTTTTTTTTTTTTTTACACAATTTGCTTATAGCAAAGAATTACTTTGCTATAAGCAAGCATTTACCTGAATGACATCGATTCATTCAGGGTTTTGTTTTTTTTTGGTTTTTTTGTGCTTAGCTGTGATTTGGCCACAGCTAATCACATGACATGTGCATGTGACCATTCACAGCTAGGCAGTAGTATACAATGGATGGCATGAATGAAGCCATCCATTGTATACAACTGACATGTGACCTGCTGTGATTGGTCACAGCAGGTCACATGGTACCGGCAACTGGGGCCAATACTCAGATCTGTCATTGGCCGTGTCCGTGGTACACGGCCGGCGACAGATCGTGCCGCTGCGCGGCTCTGCAGGAGTGCAATCTGCGCATGTGCAGGAGGACGCCATATGGCGTCCACCTGGAACGCTGATGACATTTGCTGGCCACCATTCGGCCGTAGGGCGGGCGGCAAATGGTTAAAAACCGTCCCTACCACAAAACATTGATTTTTGGTAAAAAAAAAAATACCTCTAACAAAACGCTAAAAAAACTCAAATGCGAAAAAAAGTGAAAAAACGCAGCAAAACGTCGCTAAACGCAAATACAAAAAAAACAGGCTTTTAATGTGACTTTACACAGCTAAGGTCATGAGCATTATTAAAATGCCCCGTGTGTATGGTGCTATAGACTGGAATCAACGTTTTTTGGCAGGGGCGTATTTTGGCTGGAAAAAACCCAGGACTAGCGGGCTTCTAGAGGAGCTTTTAGCTGTAA